CTTCAACTCCCCGAAATGGCTGGGTGGGGGATTCTGGGAGTTGAAGTCCACTCATCTTAAAGTGGCCAGGTTTGGACAACACTGGTCTATGGAATGCTATTAGCTTTAATGCTTTTCTGTTTCCTTTTCTTGCACTTGTCAAGCAAAATCTTTATTCACAATATGCGAATACATTTATCCACAAAACATATTTCTACAAGGTAGCAGTGTGTTTTTATCCTTCCCTGTGCTTATTATCTGTTTCAAAACTGATCAAAGCTGCAGAGAAGTCAGCTTGAGCTGCCAGAGCCAAAAACACCAACAAAAAACAAAAAGCCACAAAGCCCACTAAAAACAACCACCCTGGTGATCAACAAGATCCCCGCTGCATCCAATCAAACCCAGCATTTGTTCCCATAGTAGATGATTCAATGCCTCTGAGAAGATCACAGCATCTAATTCCAAGATGTTCTACTGGCAAAAGTTCAGCTGAAGTCATCAAATTGTTACCTTCTTGCATTTCTGTTTTTGTGGAAGAGGCAAAGCATGAAATAGCAAATACAAATGTTTAGGACAGAAGCAGATCTATGTTCCCCACCAAAATAGGCACATTCAAATACATCCACTCAACTGACAAGCTCTATGCATGTAGAACTAGAAAATACTTGTCCCAAATTCACAAATCTGGCCACTGACCTGCACACAAGCCAACATATTTCCCATGCTGTTAATGGCAGAAAATGCACTTCATAGTAGTGGCTTCAAATATTGACTGGTCACCAAACATTGTGGGCACCCTGAAAAGTCACACAACTGTGGCCACTTCTCTGAAGACCCTCCTCCTTCACCTCTGCCCATATCAAAAGCTTTATTACAGTCATTGACCAGAACTCATTGCACTTGCCATCTTTTATCTTTATCTTTTATTGTTTTTATTGTAACTTCTTTGTTTGACTGTTGGGAGCCACCCAAACTCATTGAGAGCCGGGTGGCAAACAAGTTTAATAAATAAATTATTACTTTTCAACAGTCTGACCTATAAGCTATGGAAAAAGTAGGCAGTTTAGAATTATGGGCTCAAAAGGTATGAACTCATTATAACATTAAGAAGTATATAAAAACTAATAAAATGGAATATAAATGACTGACAGTAATATTATATTACATTTATTTATTTATTTATTTATATAACGATATTGTCCTATATTAAAAGTTCACGGTAAAATTTAACAGAAACTAGAACTGTAGGTGGCAATAGTTAAGAATATAAATGTATGGATATCACTATGGTCTACTTATCAAATCAAATTTTATTTACTGCCTCAGACCAAAGCAAGATTTAAAGCAGCAGATTAAAAAGTATAACGCATTATAATACAGCAGTAAAACTTATCCACCCCTAACTAAACTACTGCTAAACTAATTGCTCGCACATGAATAATGCAAACTTAGCACCCATCTTAGGATAAGTTAACACTCCAAACCAGTGTTTCTCAACCTTGGCCACTTTAAGATGGGTGGACTTCAACTCCCAGAAGTCCCCAC